GCGCCAAGGACATCCTTTGTTACCCTCCTCGAGCGAGGGTCCTGCCATGTCCTGGGTACCTCGCCTCGCACCCCGCATAGAGCCTCGTCCCGCCGGTGAATATGCATGCCGCGGTACTTGCACCCCGTGGCTGCCTCCGTTGTAGCCTCCTTAGCCCGGGGCCAGCAACACACCCTTTCCGTCTGGCTGGGGCCATGGGCCATATCGAGTCGTGAGCTCAGTGGCTCTGAGTCTTTCCATGGAATAAAAGAGAATCCAGCGCCCCTTCGTCCCGCCGTCTGCCTCTCCATTCCACTCCAGACATCCGTGCCGCTCAGTCTCATTCTCATCTACGGGCCTCTCTCTCCTTGCCTCCTCTTGGTCGAAAACCTAAGATTTGTCTTCTCCTATATTTCGCCCGACCTCTTCCGGACCTGAACACCCCACCGGCACCATCTCGCTTCACAGCCTACCGAGATAGAACCATCCACTACAGCCTCGCCTACCAACAAAAAACTATCATTCGCTCCGTGGGCTTCTCTCGTCCAGCCTGCCTCGGTCCATTGGGCACAACTATATCTTCGCGAGCCCCAAGCCATCGAATCAACACCCAGCACCCCCCTCCTGCGGGCACAGCAGTCTGAAGCAGCACAGCAGCCTTCGGTAGCCATGTCTTCATCCGGCAAGAAGGACCGCTCTTCCTCTTCTTACAAGAAGACGCACAGCTCCAGCAGCCCCAAAAGTCACCACCACAAAGCCAGCGACTCGGGCGTCGGTTCGTTGAGCGACCAAGATAGTCTTGCAGCCAATCCTGATGGAAACTTCACAGCCCAAGGCTACCAGCAGCAGTCACAAAGTTCCCACGCTCTCCGCGAGGCCCTCGACGCCGCGAGGTTCGATCTCGACCTGTGGAAACAGAAATACAGAGAGCTCGAAGAGGACCTACGCGTTGCCCGCTCCGATCACCGTGATCTCGACGCCAGCTTCCGTGCCCTCAGCCTGAAGAACTCTCTGCTTGAGGCGGACCAAAAGACCCACGCCACCAGTATCCGCAAGCTGCAAGATGCGTTGCGTGACAAGGCTGACGAGGCAGACCGACTGCGGGAGGATCTGCGACGATTCCGCCACAGCCCACCGCAGGAACCCAACGTCTCGGCCCCGCTCGGACCTGGCCCCTCCTTCTCTTCCAGAGTGCTGTCGGACCACAAGCTGCCACGGACGGAAAGCAGCAGGAAGGAGAAGACTCGCGAGGGAGAAGGAGCGACACGCCGAAGACAAGGAGCGTCTTCGAAGCCGCTTCGACAACAAGGAAGAAAAGGGCCCTTCGAGCTCCCACTCTGCAAACTCGGGTTACTCTGGACACTCAGGGCACTCGGGGCACTCGGGACACTCGGGCCGCTCTCGTCGCACCAGCTACATCGAGCATTCGGCCCCGGCCATCGATCCGTGGCCAACGAGCCGGCGCTACAGAACCCGCGATCCGGCCGTGATTACGTCCCGTACGGGGCTTCTTCCGGCAGCCAGCCAATGGGCAGCACCAGTACCAGCACACCTCGTTCTGTTCAGGTTCCCTCTTATGCCGCCGGGTACAGCGACTCCGTCTTTTATGACGAGAGCGAGTTTGAGACGGGCGACTATTATGCCCACCCCCTGCCGGAGAAGAAGAACAAGTCGCGCAGGTGAGAAACGACGGAAGCATGACTGGAAACTTTCAGCAATGAGCGACACTGCATTGGGAAACACGCAGCCTGATGTCAACGGCTAGGACGTTGATCCTGACCCACCTGAATGCATCGCCGCCACGGGAGCGGCCGCAGAACGCCTCAATTCACCCCTCCATCTAGACTCGAGCGATGCTTGATGGTATGCGAGGCGTGGCTGGACCCTTCTTTCTAGTGGTGAGCCCATTTTTGCTTTCAAGGCACCATGGCTGAATGTCAGGATGTTCGGCCAGGTACAGCCGATCATGGTGTCTGACTCACTAGAGGGAGTCATCCGCCCGGCTGTCGACGGGACTGCCTTTTTGAGAATGCTCCATGCCGCACTTTCTCACATATTTGGCTACACTCCCCCCCCCCTTTTGTGCGAGTGTGTCTCCTTTCTCCCAACCAAATCAGGCGACTACAATACCTAGAACCTGGCCGCCACAATCTCGGCTGAGCATCCGGGCTGTCTCTCTTTCTTTCAAATCGGTCCAATCGTAAACACCACGATGAAGCTCTACCCATCTATCCCCCCCAACCTCGCAACCTGGGCAGCCCGCCAGCCGTTCTTCCTTGCGGCATCGGCTCCCACCCACGCCCCGCATGTCAACGTCTCCCCCAAGGGACTCGCCGCCTCGCATCTCGCCTTCCTCGATGCCAACACGGTCGCTTACATTGACCGTTCCGGCTCGGGATGCGAGACAATTGCGCATGCGTACGAAAATGGTCGATTGACGCTTATGTTTATGTCCTTTGGCACCTTGCCGCGCATTCTACGCCTCTTTTGTAACGCTGAGGTGATTGAGCGCGGCACACCGAGGTTTGAGGAATGGATGGCCCGCGTCGTGCAGGACCGCGAGGGTGGCGGGATGGAGGGTGCGAGAGCCGTCATTGTCGGTCGCGTCTGGGAGGTGCAGACGAGTTGCGGGTTCGGCGTGCCCGTCGTTAAGAAGGAAGTGTACACACGCGGTGCAGAGGGCGACGACGGCGACGAGGAGAGCGGCAAGGAACTGTCTATCTTCCAGGATAGGCGCACCTTGGATGACTACTGGCGCAAGAGGGCCGAGAACGGCACAGTCGAGGAGTACCAGGTTGAAAAGAACGTCACGAGCATTGACGGCCTGCCTGCTCTCAAGGCAGCGAGGCGTGAGGCCGGCGAGGTCTTGATCCTAGCCGAGGGAAGGGCCAAACTTGGACGGGCCGCGAGTGAGCGTGATGGCATCCTTCTCGGCGTGCTGCTGTCCCTGCTTGTCTGGGGTTTCACTACGATTGTGTTTGCAAAATTGTAACCTGTTTTTTTTCCCTTTTAGTCTGTTTCGATAGGCTTGTTGCTATCTAGCTGTGTACCGGCCGAGGGAGTTTGGAGTCTATGTTAGATGATTTAAAAACAACGCTGATGTATCGTTGCCTCGACACCATTATCATGATTTCCTTCCGGCCGTGAGACCCGTGCATCGAGATCCGGATAATCAACCGCCTAGAGTGCCAGAGACTCGGCTCACATGCGAGTGAATCTGACTCGACGTTGGTGTATCGACGCTGCTGCTGCTGCTTTGTGGCAGTGCCTGTTCGAAAGGGGGCCACCGGGATATCTCTGAGGTCAACATGGGTATAGCTGTTCAGTCACACCCACGGCGCGCTTCTGCATCGTAATCGAAGTGCTGCTTCAACTGGCTCCCGCAGCCGC